TATAGTGCTTGAGGCAGTTAGCAAAAAGGTGCTCTACTTGGTTCTTTACATTTGTTCTTTTCACCTGTCCCCAGTTACTTGACCTTCCAGGCCTAGGTCGCTCCTCATGATACCCATCCACGAATCTTTTCTCAATGACTGTAATCCATATGAAGTGTTGTCTGCATTTCTATTGTACTTATAGTAGTACCACAAAGCCAGCATTACATTTTTATTAAATTCTCTCTCAAAATAGGCTATAAATCCCTTGGAAGCAGGGGCCCTCCTTTTACTTCCTTGTTATTTCCTATAGTGTCTAAAAAATATTAAATGCCAAATAATATTTGATTGATTGGTTGGTTGATTGATTGACATCTGGTAAGTGGCAACAGTGGTTTTAGTAGTCAATATGCTTTCACCTATTGCTTTAATACATACTACTGCTTTGAATAATTTCAGCTGGCCCTAGGACACAGAGGCTGTCCCTGGTTGTCTGGTACTTGGCCCAGAGTGTGAGAGCCTAATAAGTGAGATGACTGGGGATGTGGATTTAATCAGCTGCTCAATAAGGGGAACAGAATGGTCTCTGGCCACAGCCTCAAAACTGGGTCAAGACAGTGTATTTTAGAAATGTATTATGTTAAAACTTATCGTCCTAAAAAGAAATGTGCTATCAAGCCATGAAAAGATATGGAGGAATCTTAAATGCATATTGCTAAATGAAAGAAGCCAATCTAAAAAGTCTACATACTGTATAATTTTATTCTGGAAAAGGTAAAACAATGGAGACAGTAAAAGAATGGATCAGTGGTTGCCAGGGGTTAAGGAGGAGGGAGGCATGACCAGGCAGAGTGCAGAGGAGTTTTAGGACACAGAAACTATTTTGTATGATGTTTTAATGGTGGTTATATGTCCTTATACATTTGTCCAAATTACACAGAATAAATAACATCAAGAGTGAGCCCTAATGTAAACTGTGGACTTTGGGTGATAATGGTGTGTCAGTGTAGATTCACTGGCTATAACAAATATACCACTCTGGTGTGGGATGTTGATAGTGGAGAGGTTGTGCATGTCAGGAGTATATGGGAACTCTCTGTACTTTCCATGAAATTTTTCTGTGACCCTAAAACCTCTCTAAGAAATAAAAGCTATTAATTTGAAAAAAGAGAGGGAACATATGAAAGTCATCTAGAAACAAAAAACCAAAGGAGCGTTTTCCTCTAAAAGTCAAGAAAGAATGGTGACAATTAGGACACCATCATGCAATGAAGAGAGTACAAAGTTAGGTGACAAAACCCTGTTATTCAAAGACAATCTAGAAAACAAAACTAGATTCTTAGAATATTTATTGAAGGCATGCTACATGCCAACCACCACAAGAAGCATTCAAATGATGAGCCATTATCTCATGTAATCTCATTTAATCCTTAACTAGAGCTCATGAAAATGTGGTATTAACCCATTTTAAGGTGAGGAAACTGGGGATCAAAGTTGGTAGGTGGCTTGCTCAATTTGATTATTTCAAGAAAACAGGGTTGTCTCCAGTGGACCAAGCAGTGTGCTAAACTGAGAAGATCCCACAGTAAGTAAGAACCATCTTCTGTAGAACTGGAAATTTCAAGAAAAAGTAGCCATCTAACCCACTAACTATATAGCATTCAGGGCATAGGAAATGGAGAAATGCATGGAACAACTGACTTCACTTGGAAGGCATAAGAAGGCTCCATGGGGCGCCTGGGTGGCTCAGTCGGTTAAGCATCTGACTTCGGCTCAGGTTGTGATCTCACGGCTCAGGAGTTCGAGCCCCCCATTGGGCTCTGTGCTGACAAGTCGGAGCCTGGAGCCTGCTTCCAGTTCTGGTTCCCTCTCTCACTCTGCTCCTCCTCTGCTCATGCTCTGTCTCCTCTCTCTGCACCTCCCCTGGTCATGCTCTGTCTCTCTCTCTCTCTCTAAGAACAAATAAACATTTTTTAAAATTAAAAAAAAAGTCTCCATAAACAAGACACCATTACAGCTGGGACTTGAAAGATGAATACAATTTCTAATAAGCATGAAATGTGGGGAGAAGTATTTCTGATGGTAATAATGGCATAGATAAAGAGGTATAAAGAGCAGGAGGCCCAGAGTGGATGAAGTGTGGGCCCCAAGGGAGATAGCCACTGGATCCTTTGAGGAGAAAGGTTACACAATTCAATCTATAGTTGTGGAATATTATTTGTGGCAAATATCAAATATCATTTGGAATATCGCTGTGGCAGTGTGGAACTGCCAATTGTAAAGACTCAAGGCTGGGTTGAGGAGACCAGAAGGAGGCAAGGGTACTACAATAACACCCAAGTAAGACAAGGCAGATCAGGGTCCGTGGAAGGGTAAAGCAACAAAGTCAGAAGTACGGAGGTTTTGCTCAGTTAGAAAAAGTATAGTACACTCTTCAAATTGCTTCTGAGTAACTTTTATCTCAAATGTTTGCCTAAATATCATTTTCTGCATGAGGTCACTTCTAACTCACCCTATTTTTTTTGGATTTTTTTTTAAATTTAAATTCACGTTAGTTAACATTCAGTGTTGTCATGGCTTCAGGAGTAGAACCCAGTGATTAATCTCTTACATATATGACACCCAGTGCTCATCCCAAAAAGTGCCCTTATTAATGTCCATTGCACATTGAACACACACTATTTAAAACTGCAACTTCACCTCAGACTCCTGATCCCTTAATCTGCCTTACGCTTTCTTTTTTTCATAAAACGTATCAGTATAACTGCGAACATTCTAAATGATTTACATTTTTGATTGTTTATTTTTTGTAATCTGTCTTCCCTCGTTGAAATATAAGTTGTGAAAAGAAAAACATGTTTAGGGGTGCCTGGGTGGCTCAATGGGTTAAGTGTCTGACTCTTGATTTCGGCTCTGGTCATGATCTCATGGTTTGTGAATTTGAGCCCCACATCAGGCTCTGCACTGACAGCACAGAGTCTGCTTGGAATTCTCTCTCTCTCTCTCTCTCTCTCTCTCTCTCTCTCAAAATAAATAAACATTTTTTAAAAAAGGAACAACATGTTTGTTTGGTTTATTAATTATTCCAAACACCTAGAGCACAGCCTAAGACATAGTAGATATACAACAAATATTGCTGAATGAGTGAATGAATATATGTGTGAATTGGCTCACACCCAGCAGTGCTTTAAGGTAAGCAACTGAGATAGCATAACCTACAGACAATTTCAAGACTGCTAAGAGATAAAATATTCTCTATTAAAACATTTATACATGTACCTAAGGAGAAGTAACTTGAAAACAGATCCAAGGTTAGTAGACAGCATATAATACCAGTCAAGGAGACCACATTTTTTTTCCTGTCTTGTTATTTTGTCTTTTTATTTATTTTTTTTTTAATTTTATTTTTTAAAATTTACACCAAATTAGTTAGCATATAGTGCAACAATGATTTCAGGAGTAGATTTAGTAGATTTAGCCCATCCCCCCTCCCACAAGCCCTCCAGTAACCCTCTGTTTGTTCTCCATATTTTAAGAGTCTCTTATGTTTTGTCCCCCTCCCTGTTTTCGTATTATTTTATTTCCCTTCCCTTATGTTCATGTGTTTTGTCTCTTAAAGTCCTCATATGAGTGAAGTCATATGGTATTTGTCTTTCTCTGACTAATTTTGCTTAGCATGATACCCTCCAGTTCCATCCACGTAGTTGCAAATAGCAAGATTTCATTCTTTTTGATGGCCGAGTAATACTCCATTGTATATATATACTACATTTTATTTATCCATTCATCCATCATGGAAATTTGGGCTCTTTCCATACTTTGGCTATTGTTGACAGTGCTGCTATAAACATTGGGGTGCATACGTCCTTTCAAAACGGCACACCTGTATCCCCTGGATAAATACCTACTAGTGCAATTGCTGGGTCATAAGGCAGTTCTATTTTTAATTTTTTGAGGAACCTCCACACTGTTTTCCAGAGTGGCTGCACCAGCTTGTATTCCCACCAACAATGCAAAAGAGATCCTCTTTCTCTGCATCCTCACCAACATCTGGTGTTGCCTGAGTTGTTCATGTTAGCCATTCTGACAGGTGTAAGGTGATATGTCAGTGTGGTTTTGATTTGTATTTCCCTGATGATGAGTGATGTTGAGCATTTTTTCATGTGTCCGTTGGCCATCTGGATGTCTTCTTGGAGAAGTGTCTATTCATGTCTTTTGCCCATTTCTTCACTGGATTATTTGTTTTTTGGGTGTTGAGTTTGATAAGTTCTTTCTAGATTTTGGATACTAACCCTTTATCTGATATGTCGTTTGCAAATATCTTCTCCCATTCTGTCGGTTGACTTTTAGTTTTGCTGATTGTTTCCTTTGCTGGGCAGAAGTTTTTTATTTTGATGAGGTCCCAGTAGTTCATTTTTGCTTTTGCTTCCCTTGCCTGTGGAGACATGTTGAATAAGAAGTTGCTGTGGCCAAGATGAAAGAGGTTTTTGCCTGCTTTCTCCTCGAGGATTTTGATGGCTTCCTGTCTTGTCTTTCATCCATTTTGAGTTTATTTTTGTGTATGGTGTAAGAAAGGGGTCCAGGTTCATTCTTCTGCATGTCATTTTTCCCAGCACCACTTGCTGAAGAGACTGTCTTTATTCCATTGGATATTCTTTCCTGCTTTGTCAAAGATTAGTTGGCCATACATTTGTGGGCCCATTTCTGGGTTCTCTATTGTGTTCCATTGATCTGAGTGTCTGTTCTTGTGCCAGTACCATACTGTCTTGATGATTACAGCTTTGCAGTATAGCTTGAAGTCTGGGATTGTGATGCCTCCTGCTTTGGTTTTCTTTTTCAAGATTGCTTTGGCTATTCTGGGTCTTTTCTGGTTCCACACAAATTTTAGGATTGTTTGTTCTAGCTCTGTGAATAATGCTGGTGTTATTTTGATAGGGATGGCATTGAATATGTAGATTGCTTTGGGTAGTATGGACATTTTAACAATATTTGTTCTTCCTATCCAGAAGCATGGAATCTTTTTCCATTTTTTTGTGTCTTCTTCAATTTCTTTCATAAGCTTTCTATAGTTTTCAGTGTATAGATTTTTCACTTCTTTGGTTAGATTTATTCCTAGCTTTTTTATGGTTTTTTGGTGCAATTGTAAATGGGATCGATTCCTTGATTTCTCTTTCTGTTGTTTCATTGTTGGTGAATAGGAATGCAACCAATTTATGTGCATTGATTTTATATACTGCAACTTTGCTGAATTCATGAATCAGTTCTAGCAGTTTTTTTGGTGGAATCTTTTGGGTTTTCCATATAGAGTATCATGTCATCTGCGAAGAATGAAAGTTTGACCTCCTCCTGCCTTTTATCTCTTTGTGTTGTCTGATTGCAGAGGCTAAGACTTTCAATACTATGTTGAATAACAGTGGCAAGAGTGGACATCCCTGTCTTGTTCCTGACCTTAGGGGGAAAGCTCTCAGTTTTTCCCCATTGAGGATGATACTACATTGGGTCTTTCATATATGGCTTTCATGATCTCAAGGTATGATCCTTCTATCCCTATTTTCTTGAGGGTTTTTATCAAGGATAAAAGGATGCTGTATTTTTTCAAATGCTTTCTCTGCATCTATTGAGAGGATCATATGGCTCTTGTCCTTTCTTTTATTGATGTAATGAATCACGTTATTGTTTTGTAGATAATTGAACCAGCCCTGCATCCCAGGTATAAATCCCACTTGGTCATGGTGGATAATTTTTTTAATGTACTGTTGGATCCAGTTGGCTAGTGTCTTGTTGAGGATTTTTGCACCCATGTTCATCAGGGAAATCGGTCTATAGTTCTCCTTTTTAGTGGGGTCTCTATCTGGTTTTAGAATCAAGATAATGCTGGCCTCATAGAAAGAGTTTGGAAGTTTTCCTTCCATTTCTATTTTTTGGAACAGTTTCAAGAGAATACCTGTTAACTCTTCCTTAAATGTTTGGTAGAATTCCCCTGGAAAGCCGTCAGGCCCTGGACTCTTGTTTTTTGGGAGATTTTTGATTGCTAATTCAATTTCTTTACTGGTTCTGGGGGACTGTTCAAATTTTCTATTTCTTCCTGTTTCAGTTTTGGTAGTGTATATGTTTCTAGGAATTTTTCCATTTCTTCCAGATTGCCCATTTTACTGGCATTTAATTGTTCATAGTATTCTCTTATTATTGTTCTTATTTCTGCTGTGCTGGTTGTGATCTCAAGGAGACCACATTTTTTACATGGACTAAAACCTTCTTTGGTACTAATATTCTTGTAGATTATGGCAATTGATTATAAGGAGGGAAGTTTTAGGTGTGGGGATTCAGTCATGGCAGAAATCCATGACAAGATTTGATAAGCCATATTTATCACTTTGGCATGCCAGGCATCAGATTTATTTTTTTACATATTTTATCTCAGGCTTTGTAATAGTATGTTATCACACTAAGGCAGGTTATTTCTATTTAACAGATGAGGAAACTGAGACTCACACAGGCAAGTGGCTTGCCCAGTGACATAGTTCAAACAAGTCCATCTGGTTTCAATGTGTGTGTGCTTATCACCATGCCAAGAAAATTGTAACAATAACTAGGAAAAAAGAAAAAGATTTTATTAAACATTTATTCTGGACCAGACACTGTACTACTCGCATTACAATAACCCTATAAAATGGTTATCATTAGTTTACCATTTTACTTATGGAAAGCCTAGCACAGAGAGTTGGAAGTAAATTTTTCATGATCGCATGTCTAGAAGGTTCTAGAACTAGGACTCAAACACAGGCCTCATGGACTCTAATGCCTATGCTCATAACCCACTACACTATATTGCCAAGTGGAAAATGATTTTATTGCCAGATGGAACAGACTGAAGTTTTGCTGATTTAGGGGAAAGGGAACCAGTAAAAGATCGGTTTCCACAAGGCAAGTGCAAAGAGATAAACATTTAGCAAATTAATGCAGTAATTTGAAGGGTAGTTTGAGCAGATGCCATGTGGAAGTTACCACAGAAAACATCAGTTCTTTAAGCCAAATGGTATTTTGAGAGTATGAAAAGAATGTAATTATAAGATTTTTTACCATAAAAACAAATCCATATACATAAACACTTAGCTAGAAGGAGAACAGGGCATATTGCTGAGAATATTACATTAAACAAGTCCTTTACTAATTAATAAGATACTGGTCATCATGAAATTACAAGTGCTCAAATGTGGTGATATTGGCATTTGATGTACAATTACTGATGTTAATGTTTGTACAGAAATATGAATCTTCCCACTCACTTCTCCCAGCGGAGGGTCCTGTGAGGCCATGACAGAAGCTGAGAATGTCTCATCCGTGACAGTTCAGGGCCCGCCAACTCAGAGAATAGAGCCAGGAGCTGTGCAAGAAAAAGAAGTCTGAAGGGAGCCGAAATCAGTCCCCCAAAACAAGGATGCCATGGCAGAGACCAGCAACTGCCTACAACAGATGCTGTGCCTTTCATGTGAGCCATCTTGTTTTTATCTGCACATTGGGATGTATGAGATCTAAAGGGCCAGGTGGTAAAGGGAAAGAACTTAAGAGTTTACAAAGAACTCTGACATATATGAATTATCTCACTACACCATGAATAATTCAAAGGCCATAAGTAAAACTAATCCATCTTTGTTACCCCAGCTCCCAGTGTGGGCCTAACAAGTTGCTCAGCAAAAGTCTGTTGACTAAGGAACGACTGGTCTCATTGATCAGCAGATCTGTGATGATTCTTTTACTTGACGGTGCAGCTTGGACATGCCAAGGGGTAAAAACCAACTATTTACATAATAAAACATCCCTAACTGTCTCTCTCTATAGCTCAGTTCCTTCCTGCTACATTAGGAGACTGTTATAAGAAGCAAAATTCACTAGTCTGACATGAAGATTGGCCTGAGTAGGGTTTCAGTGTCTAGCATCAGGTAGTTAGCAGGTATTAAGTGTAGGTTTGCACATGACAATGTGGAAAGAATACGACACATTTGCGCAGACCATTATGGAGGCGAGAAGCACACACAAAGAGAGGAAAACTCTCTAATGAAGAGCCATCTTTGCGTTAAACATTGAGAAACACCCAAGTCTCTTCCCACACAGCCCAGCCTGTTTACTTTGAGGAACAGAAAAAAAACAACTGCTTTTCTCATTCTATTGTATTTATTTCACCAGCAGTCAACATCTCTGCCATTGCCCTTCTGAATGCCATGCTCACATGGAAGTCTCTGCCATTTTTGTACTGTGTAAAAAAAAATGTTTTAAGATACAAGTGGAAATAAGTGACAAACAACGATGGGGCCAAAACAAAATAGCAGAGAAATACTTGACACAGCGGAATCCAACAAACTGATTTGGCAGCTTATATTTTGCTAGTCATTTGCAAGTCGATCTTAGGAAAGTTAGAAGCCAAAAATACCGTCATCTACCACGTGCATGATGCGTAATTGGTACTCGGTGACTATTTGTTGAATGACTTAATTTCTCCTAGCTTTAGCAGGACGGTGCCAGATGTGATGATTCAACATCATTGTTAAAACATCATCAGCTCTGCTCACCTGGCTTCTGTCACCCCACGCTTTGCTGATTCTCATTTTTCTTCTCACCTGGTCTCCTTCATTGGCATTCTCTTTCTCTGTCTGCTCAAAGAGGCTGTATCCCCCAGAGGACTGAGCTTGCCTTCGTGTTCTCCCTACTGCACACATTCCATGTGTGTGCTTAATGTGGCCTGAACCATGGCCTACCTGGTAATGATTCCCAGGTCTCCCTCTCCAGCCTGGACTCTCCCGTGAGCTTCCTGTGTGTGCCGTTCCCTCTGTCCTCCTCCACTGTCCTTCCCCACGTTCTCATCAGCTCTCTTGTGGACTATTAAAGTGTCACTTGTCCCCTCCAGTCTTGCCATCTCAAATCCATCCCACCCGAGCTGCTAAATGCAAACTAAACCATACCAGTCACTCACGTCATTACTTTGAATACCCCACTCCCTCCTACTACCACCAATGATGGCTTGCTTCACCTCTCTAACATGGCAAGGATGTTTCTCTGCTTCCTTTTCTACCCTCATCTCCTCCACTGTTCATCTCACTCTCTAATCACTAGCAATTCAAGCTGCTCGTGGCTCCATCCTGTTTCATGCCTCCCAGCCTTTGTCTTCATCATTTCCCTAAACCCTACACCTTTTCAAAGATTTGGTTCCAGCAGCCCTTCCTCCAGTAAGGCCTTCCTGACCTCCCCCTCCAGCCCCCTGGAGACCGGGGCAGGCACCCCTGATCCCTAGTTACCCCGACCATACACCATGCTGTCACTGAGTTTGCCACACTGCATTAAAATAATCTGTGAGCTATTCTTGCTTCAACAGAATCCACACTGAGAGAGGAGTAAGACCAGGTTTTATTCAGCGTTGGGTATTCAGCCCATAATGTTGGTATCTGGTACAGAGGATAAAAACCTCAATAAGTATTTGTTGAATAAAGTTGAACTGATGGTTGCAGATGTGTGTATTAATTAGCATCTCAACAATCTCTGAGTGCATAACTGCTTAGCGCACAATCAATTATTCCACTTTCTAAACTCTCCTGAGGAAGGAGCTTGCCCCACTCAATGCCATTCAGAGGCACAATTGCTTAACTGATATTGCCAAACTGGGCCTCAAGTAATGAGGAAAGTTCCATTTTCCTCAGCTGTGAAGGCTCTGAGATACACAAAATGATGCTAGCATCCTAGTCACTTGGCCTGCCACTTCTATGATCACAGCTTCTATTGTTATGAGGTGACGCCTAATTAAGCATACTTTGAGTAATAGTGTCACAGGCCAGGAGAACAATTCTGCCACAGGTACGTTTCCCGTTACCCTTGCTGGAATCCCCATTTCTCTGTCTTTACACTGTGTGCAGAAATAAATTGCCGATTTCGTTGATACAAGCACATTCTCAAACAACTTGAAACTACTCCAAATACCAACAGCCACGTGAGAGGGGAAAAAGATGAAATGTAGTTTGTGGGAAGTAAATTCTTGATTATGTTGGAATTAAAGGGTATATGCTTTGCTGCACTCTCAAGAGTTACAGATAAGAAGCACAGCAGTGTTTTACTCCTATGTCAAACACAGAGCTGGCAATTTACTGTGCAAAATAAACAGATGGAGAAAAATAGAAAGGTAGTATCTCTGCCTTTTAACTATGTTCCTCAAGGGTCATCACGAAGAGAGAAGTAATAATTATAGCAACAGAGCGGGTGTTCTCTTGCCTCTTGGAAAGCTTTATAGGCCAGTTGTTTACTGCTAACTTTTGGTGAAAGACTAGTTTAAGTATATCAAAGCTTTATA